GCAGTATTTTTCAGTTTAGTATATCATTTTATATGAATTTGCTTCTTCCAGAATAATTTTTTTCTTGCTACTCTTTATCCAACATAGAGGGGCCTGCCTTTGTAATAAAAAGAAAAAGATGATTTATGCCTAATGAGATTTTTCACTTCAAATTTGCAAGCAGGTCAGAAGAAGGACCGTTTAAGGTCAGGACTCAGTAATCATGCACTAAAATGAGTCATTTTCACAAATACCTGAGAATATGTCCTTTTATTTGCTTTTCTTTCCCATAATTACTACAATAATACTCAAAATGCAGTAAAACATTTGAAAAACTCGACTTCTGTAGAAACGTTAATCTCTCTCTTTCTGACAGAATGGTACTTTATCTACTGAATCAATATTTCTGCCAGGGAAAACTCCTCAACCAGTTTCATTTCCAACTTGTTTTATCACTCCAGCAATGCCAGAAATGTGCAGTAAATCCAGGCGTGTTGTGAATTTTTTTTTTCTTTTATGGTTTAAGTTTTAAAATGTTAACATTCTAGTCTGTGCGTAGACAAAACGAGGGGCATGTGCACATGACACTTTAAAGCAGGTTAATGCTTTTGCACCGCTTTAATGGTGTTGGTGTTTGCACCCGTCGGCAGTGTATTGTGCAATAATGCCAGCTGCTGTAATAAACTCGGCTGCATAATGTATCTTAAATGACTTGGGGCGCAGCAAACTAAAACTCCTCCGAGGAGTTTTAGCTTGCTGCCCTACAACCACAGAGCAAAGCAGTGGGCTCTGTCCAGTTCAGGGGCTCTGCAGGAAGCCTGTGCAGGCAGCCTGGCAGCAGCCCGGGAAGGCAGGTTCCACCTAAGGAAAAAAAAAAGTGGCAGGCCTGATCTTTTAAAATTATTTTTTCCCCCCCTGGAGCCTGCCTTACCTGCCTGAGCTGTGCGAGGGCCCGGTGCTTCCCTCCATGGCTGCGGTGCCCCCCAGGACTACCCAAGTTGGGTGCCTGCAGGTGGGTGCTGGTGGGGGCACTGCTGCTGCAAAGGGAAGCACCAGCCCCCTCTGCAGCCCAGGGACTCCTCTGCCCGCTGGCAGCTCGCTCTCCCCTCCCTGCCACCAGAAAGGCAGCCAAGTTCGGGTGTGTGCATGACACAGGGGTTTAAAGGGCTCTAAATTGAAGCGGTGTTTTTAAAAACTCATCGTTTCAACTTAGTGCTTTTAGTCTACAGTCACCGCTAGGTAATATTCTTGTTCCTGTCAGGAACTTCAAGCTTATTCCTTCATCCAGAGATGAAGGGCTGTAGATGGTTTCAGAAAAGAACAGGTCTGGAAAACTCAAATTTTCTCATTTTTAGGTATATCTTTGACATCAACTGAAGGGGCTTTTTAACTTTTCAAGAATTATCTTCTTATGCTGAATTAGCTGCATTTTTATATCTCTGGTGAATTATTTGTGGTTTTTCACAAATTGGGCTATTAGAGTTACAGTAATTTTCATGCATTTCCAGTGACTGAGTTTAAGTGCAACAGCAATGTCTCCACCTGTGGAAGATGCAGTGTAACCTTGTATCATGTGCCCAAACAGTGCAGCCAAAACTCTGCAGTTCAAGAATGAGCATTAAAATGAAGGTTGCAATGGAAATCAAATAAAAATATACTCCTACCTTTTGAGCCTCAATGATTTCCTTTCCCAAGCTTATTGCATAACAGATCTGTAGAAGAAATAAGTGGAATTAGTTTTTTGTAAAAGGCTTTTTTGTAGAATCTGTCTTACTTTTTATGAAATATCAATAAAAATTCACCATTTAAGATTGTTCAGACCCTTAGGGCCAGATCTCATTTTACCTATTAGGTGCTTATGAGCTCCTATTCCATCCTGCTCTGGTAAAACTGTTAGTGCGAAATGTGGATAAATTCTCTTCATCTTTGGTACCTTTAGGGGCTTAGTCATAAGGCTAAGATGAGGCTGTGTTACAAAAGGAGGTGTCTTAATGCTTTTTCAGTGACTCAAGCAGGTTTGAAAAGGATCTGGCCCATTTGTGGTAAAGCCTCAAAACTATTTTTAGTTTCTAATGAAAGAAATCCTAAGTCAGCTTAACTTTTACACACACGGAAAACTGCACCAGGTATTTCCTTTTCATCCTTATCTTCCTCCTCTGTTTTAGTGCTTGCATACAGCACACAGCTGCACGTGAACTCCCTCAGTAGCAAGCTACAGGAACAGTCTGCATTTATTCTGTTTCTCTGAGAAGCCTTATGGTCTGAGAGATAAGGGAACTCATCAGCTCTCCCCTTTCATTATCTGGTTTGACTTATTGAAAAATTCAGCCTTTCTTTAGAAGTACTTGTTTCAATCCAGCTGACACATTTGTTTCTGTTAGGGGTGGGGTTGGCCGCTGAGGCTGCTTGCAGATGCTTAAAAAAAGCCCCCAAAACCAAAAAACCCCCCAATGCTTTACTTTAAACTCACCACGTTCCCACGCCAAGCCCAGCATATGCCCAGGAGAGGCAGTGTGTTAGTTGGACCTGGCTTGCCCAACCTCTGTACAGATTGTGCGCTTTAGTGGGGCTTTTTTGGCGCTTTTATCTAATAGCCAGTTGACTCGGCTTTAGATAAAAGTGCCAAAAAGCCCTGCTGAAGTACCAGATCTATCCTTTGACCCAGCTCTGCAGGATCTGTAATGTGCTGCTGTTTCTGGTAAACACATGGTAAGTGCTGCGTTTTTTTGGAAACACCTTTTTTTTTTTTTTTTTTTTTTTAAATGTCTGCAAGCAGCCTGACTGATTCTTTCCTAAAGCGCTTGAGGGAAGATTCAGCAGGCTCAGATGTTCCTTCCTGCTGTACTTGCTGATACGCTGTCCAAAAACTCGTTTCCTAGAGTTACGTCATCCTTTCTCACTCACCAAGAAATTGAGTTACCCCTGACAGGCTTCCAGAAGATGGCTTTCTGCAAGGACTAATTATTTTTATAAAATACAATATGAAATGCTAGATACCTTTTCACCTTCTGTGTTGCTTTCAAAAATATATGCACTCATTGATTCTTCCCCCAGGGCTTCTGCAATGCGGACCACAAAACCAATCAGTCTCTTGTTCTCCTGGTGAGCAGCAAACTGTGTCACGCTGGCAAGTTCAAACTGGAAAAAAGCATATTAAAGTATTTTCAGAACTAAAAAATGCTCAACTTAATGTTACAGAGGGAAGCGAAAATCAAAGAGAAACATAAATGACTGCAATTTCTCTATCAAAACAAAGGACGAATAACTTACGCTGGTTCGTGTCACCTGAGTTTGAGGATCTATTAACCTGCAATGATAAGAAAATGTAAATAAGAAATGTGAAGTGCTTCTCCAGTATCTTCTAGCAGTAGGCCCCAAGCTGCTGTACACTTTACAGATGGGGATGTACATAATTGAGGTGCCCTGCTTAAGGTCTCACAGTGGATGAGCAGTAAAGCCAGGAATGGAGTTCAGTTCCACCAAGTCCTGGTTCAGTGCCCTATCCTTGTGCCTGGGCTGCTTGTATATAAAGGTAGGTGTAACTTGTAAGCAGCTCAAGTGTATTTTATACAAGCTTGTTCTTGAAAATACTCAATATCAAATTGATATGGGGCACCCAAAATAAAGACTTTCTACATGTGGGAGACTTGACATGCATATTGTCTTTCCTGACTAAAAGCTTTAATGCAGTGACCCATTTGACCATTCTACTTTAACACAGTAGTCAACATAGCGTTTTAAGAACAGGACAGGTGCTGTCTCTT